CTAGCCAAGCAACACACCTCGATTCTGCTTCCTTATTCACCTATCGAGTATACAGCGAAACTCGGCAGACAATCTTTCTACATCCAGAATAATCTCTTAGCACTACAGTTGTCACTATTCTGATTTTAACAAAAAAGTAGTCATTCTAGGTTGTAGAAAGTGATTTAGGGATTCGTTCATACGTTTTATAAGCCACAAAAGGAAATATACTATACGTACCGCATAAATCTCCTGAAAGTTCCCAACGCTAGGATTCGACCGGTGGCATTTAAATGTAAAATTGTCCTTGATATGATTCGCCTGAACGTGCTGTACGGCAACCCTACCTTCGATACTCCCGAGGGCATAACCAATCGGCTGAGTCTTCTGCTTGTCCAAAAAGATAGAGACACAACGACTCTGCTCGCGGAAGAAATGAAATATTCTAGTATGAGCATGGTAAACGAGGCATTCTATGAGTTTGAACATTCTCTACTAAAATTTCGTGTTTAAAGTTTTAAAAATATTGCATTATTTACTAGTATACTAGTTCAAAGTCATAAAATAATGAAGCTGAAGATAACACAGGTAAAGATGAAGAATGCCGTTTAGTGGTCTTACCAAGAATCATAATATTTTCCCTTTTCGTAAGTATGTTATAGCGCATAACAATAATCGAAATAGAATAGATTAAATAGATACGAAGCAATTCCTTGATGAGGTATTTTTATAAACAGACTTATTTAACTAGTTAATAATGTATATATCAGGGAAAAACTCATTCAAACCTTTACCAAAGGTCCTGATGAACGAACTTAATTCTTTTTAAGAGTTATTCAATGGTGCTACAAGAGTTATTTATAATTGATAATTTTTTGTTAACTTAAAGGTTAATAGTATTGGTATCGCTTATTGTCGTAAATAAAATGGGCAGTACGAGTTCAAAAATAGACAATTATTAGTAGTAAATTCGCGATCAAATGTATAAATAGTATGAAGATCCACATGAACGATAGATATGCACAAATAAGGGCGTATAGTTATAAGATAAAAAATGTCACCTGAAACTTGAGTGGAGACTCTAGTCTCGAATATTCTGCGGGTGTATTGCTCAGGTTATATAGTATTATGTGCCGATTTGCTGTACAAATGATTGCTAAGGGAAAATATATATCAGCACAGTAAACCCGATCAGGAAGACCAAAAACCATAACTGGTTGAGGGGTTCGTGTGTCCCAGAGCCTGAAGGTAAAAAACAGAATTC